TTTTTCAAACTCAAGGGTGTACTCTTCACTTCCAGGGGCTGCAGCAGACTTAGGATCAGGAAAGAGGAAGTACGATGGTGTCCTGGATTTCCAGCATGAGTGTAACTGGCTAGCGGAATGGCCAATGGCTGAATGTGCAACATTATTATACAGTCCAGCTCTCTGTGGTAGCTTGATATCCCAAGTTTGTTCATTTGTTCAGCTTGACCACTACCGTCTTCACCCGAATAGAACGCCCAGTCATTATCGCTGCATTTAGACTGGAAGTTGGCCCGAATACAGCTATAATGACCGGGCGTTCTATTCGGGTGAAGACGGTAGCCTCAAGATGATTGTCTGAGGTCACCTTTAGTTCAGAACCTAACATTCTTTTTTTTTTTTTTTTTTTTTTTTTTTTTTTTTTTTTTTTTTTTTTTTTTTTTTTTTTTTTTTTTTTTTTAGTGGGCCCTACCATATTTCACTGGTGAACCGCACATCGGTATAACTTACAATAATCTTGGGCAGTGCAAAGTTCTTTATCCAATGATAAGCGGATTTCATTATGACTAACTATGTCTTAGTTGTTGCCAACATTGATATGTAACATGCAAATTTAGAATTTTTTTCAACAATTACACAAATTTGCTTGTTTCCTTTCCTGCTGGCCACGAGTGTCCATGAAAACCATGGCCAAAGACTGAGCAGGTCCATCGGGAATAGTAAGCTGCTTGATTAAGCCGAGAGGGGCTTGTGTGTGAGGTTTGGGCCTTTGGCAAAATTGGAAACCGTCACCATACAACTGTGCATCCCTCTTCATACTGGGCCAGTGAGCCACCAAAAACGCTGCAACAGATTACCGTAAGTCTTCTTAAATCCAAGATGGTCCATCCATCATGGCATTCTCCTAAAAAATATAGGCTCCTTAGACATTCGCTAGTAGGCACACAAAGTCTTCCTTTCCCATCCTTACCCAAGACCAACAAACCTTTCGCCATCCTAAACTCTTGCACACCTTTCCATCTTGCGTAGTGAGTTGTGTGATGATTTCCTTAAGAACATTGTCGTCCTAGTAAGAATCTACCACTTGCTAACGTACATGCCCTTCTAACTGAAACTTCATAGCCAATGTACACAGGAAGTCTGCTCTCCTTGACAATGCATTGGCTATCATATTGTACTATCCTTATACATCCCTAAGTGTGAAGTATTACATGTCTATGTCCTGCATCCATCTTTTAAGTGTCAGTGTGGGCTGCGTCTTTGTCCAATTTAGTGTCTCATAGTCAACCCCGACTTCAAAATGTCTGCCATAAGATAGTGTTTCCTGTGTTTTAACTCCATGTAGAGTGTATACAACTCCCACTCATAGGTTAAGTTTGTCAGCTTTTCAGATGGCATCTTTTTAGACATATATTCAATCGGTCTCAAGGCTCTCAACTTCTTCCCCTCTACTTGTTGTAACAGTGTGCCTATTCTCATACTCACTGGTCTCCGTAGTGATAATAAATGACTTATCAGGATCTGCAATCTTTAGGACAGGTTGATGCAGAAGAGAAGACTTCAATTTCTTAAAAGTCCACTCACATTCCTTACTCCAGCCCCGACGGGTGGCAAGTCGAGTTAGATCACTCAGAAGGGCAGCTATACTGATGTAATTCTTTACGATAGACCTCAATATCCATCCATCCCCAAGAAAGATATGACCACGATCACAGACTCAGGCCGTGGGCAACTTCTAATCGCCGCTACCTTTGCTCTGGTCTCAATCCATCCTTAGAGATTTCATAACCCAAGTACAAGATCTTAGTACGACCAATTTAATGTTTCTCTATCTTAATCTTGTGGTTGTGTTTCCGGAGGAGGTGTACGACAATATCTATATATTGTTCATGTTCCTGCAGAGACTTACTAAAGATAAAAATATCACCGAGAAAGACGACTGTGAACTATCTTAGTCAAGAAACACTCTATCCATAGCATGTTGGAATGTATCAGGTGCATTACAAAACCCAAAAGGCATCACCACGAACTCATATAGTCCAAAACCCAAAAGGCATCACCACAAACTCATATAGTCCATACCTAGTTTGAAATGCAATCTTGTGTCGGTTCTCGGGTGTTCTCTATATTTGATGACACTCGAACTTTAGATCTATCTTACTGAAGTATCTATATCCCTGCACTTTATCCAAGAGGTCGTTGATGCAAGGTAGTGGCTTTGCATTACATACCGTGGTGGCATTGAGGCCTTTGTAGCCAATGCACATCCTTAATGTACCTCCCTTCTTCGGAACACATACTACCGCTGAGCTGTACAGTGATGTACTTGGCCTAATCCAGACACTCTCAGTCAGTTCCGTTAGTTACAAACCTCATCTAACTCCGCTGGAGACATCCTGTAGATCCTGCTTTTGGGTGTTTTACTCCCTATGGCAATCTCTATCGCATGGACAACCTCTCTCTCTACGACTCCAGTAGCTTCCTCCTGCAGGTCTGGATACTTGGCGACAACTCTTGCTATCTTCAGAGGGGTCTTTATGGCCTGCCCCTTTGGAGATACGAACACGATGAACATACCATCTGCTTGGTTCTACCTACAGTAACTGCAGAACGCACTAACAAACATGCACTTTGAGTCTTTTCCTGTAAGAAGGATGTAATTCCACAAAACCATTAAAAAACCACCGGGTCCACACCCTACCCATACCAACCCATCCCAGCAGCAAATGTGCCACACAATCCCCCTTTTAAGAGCAAGTCATAAAGAGAAACCAATTGGTTTCGCTGCCTAGGCCCTTGTGTACACATCGAACCTATTTGCCTACCAAGTTACCGGCCTGGATTCAAATCCCACTAGAGCTTCCATGTCAAACTTGCAAAATCAAGGCCCAGAAGATGACCAGTTCTCTTTTGCAGAACTGCCTAAAGGGTGACTTCCCCCTCTTTGAAGAAGTTTGTGAAGCTGAAAACCCCAAATGTAGACCACTTGTGTCTAGCAGAAATATCTGAAGCTGCTGAGAAGTCATGGGGGTTGACCCCATTCAGCAGATAAAAGCCAGAAACTCTCTCATGGCTACTGAGTACTCGGACTGCTGTAGTCCCACCTGCTAGCTCTTTGTAGAAGACCTCTTCTCCCATTCTGTCAACGATGTCCCTCTGTTTTATTTTGGTGCCTGGAATCACTTGCTCTACCGCCCAAGATGCGACCCTCTCTCTGTCAGAATGCAACTGATGATTGCACATCCCTGTACAGATCATATTCCCGACCACCAGTACATTCACGTACATTCTGACAGAGTCATTAGAAAACATGAGGCAAATATGGATGAGTTTTCCTAATCAGTGTGTGACATGTATTATGTTCATTGGACAGGTGGCCATGGGCTACAGCCATGTGCTTGCTCTGACTGACAAAGGAGTTGTGTATGTATGGGGGAGCAACAGCAATGGCCAGCTTGGAACAGGGGACAGCAAGTCACGGGCCAAGCCAACTGTGGTATGTATTCAACCTTCACAAACACACACGCACACACACCTTTTCTTTCTCTCCCTTCTCCCTCCCTCCTCTCATGCAAAGCTTCTTACTCCCAGTGTGTTAATATTCTTGGTTTGTTTATGTGGCTGACCCTCTGCTTTTTTCGCAGGTGCCCACATTCAGTGCATATGAATGAGCATCAAATTGTACGGAATACTGAACAATACTGTCCCTTCCCCTTTACTCTGCCTCTTTTCATCGTGTGCAAGTGGGCCGTTAAACCACTAGTACCTTTGCCGCTTGGGAAAATAGCGGGCCTCGGGTAGGCGTCCGACCTTTTCATAGGCCGAAACGAAACGACGGCCGCCGATCAGATTTTCAATGGCAGTCGCCGTCGGGCCTGACCTCCGAAAATTCAGGACTTTGGGAAAACTGCCAGTTTTCCCTATTTTCCCACGCGGGAAAGGTACTAGTGGGAATGTCGACAGCTTGCGCTCAACTACAACCAACCTGGCAAGCGTTGTGCATGAGAGGCACAGTGAAAAGGGAGCAGCAAGAAGACATAAAAAAGCAAGGACAACGAAAAAAGAGCTGCATAAGCATAAGGAAACGGCAATATAGTTTAAAGACAGGATTGAATGATGACACCACAATAGCACAATTTTTGTGTGCTTCATGATGTTCACTGTAGAAGACTTTGAGGTCAAACAGTTCGTTTCAATTCTGAATCTACTCATCTGGGTGGAAAAGGGGTTGTTATGGAGGCATTATTCATGTGGAAGAAACTATGGTTAAACAGTTTGTTTCAAGTTTGGATCTACTTATTTGGGTGGAAAAGGGGTCGTTATGGTGACAATTTACAAAACACAAAAAACAAACAAACAAACAAACTATGAGCCATTGATCAGAGCCCCATTCAACAAGGAATTGATGCTCGTTCGGCTCCTGGTGTTATCTATGTCATTATTCACATACCCTCTAGTTGCACATATGTTGGGCAAACCACATACTCTGCTCACTATAGCATTGGCACTCCCGCTATTCATCTCAAATGACTCACTCATGTCACTATCATCTCTATCACTTCATGGCTAGGCAACCACCTGTTCACAATGTTGTTTGGCCTCTTGAGTGTATATATCCCCACCTTTATCTGAATCATGATGGCTCCACTGGTCCCGATTGTTCAAACGTATACCCTCAGGGCTTCAATAGCGTCCTTCCACAAGGAAGATTACTGCCTGTGAGACAATCTCATCGTTCGAATAGGTGGACTTGTTCACGAGGCCGTCCAAATCCTGCATCTTGGACTCAACGGACAACACAAATTCATGACGACAGAGGCTAATAGCATACTTGCAACCGCACTAGCCGGACATTCATGAGGTGCGGTGCGGAGTACGGTGTGCGGGAGGTGCTCGATTTCTGCACATTCTGTACCTGCACAGACCAGATCCGTGCGGAGATCGTGGGGGGTGTGGCCGTGCGGGTGCGGAAATGTGCGGAAATGTGCGGGGATGTGCGCTACGTGTACCGCACCGTGCGGAGCCGTGCAGGATTTTTTTTTTTTTTTTTTTTTTTTTTAGGGGGTCCTGAGGGGTCCGAACTTGCTGCTCCTTGACCAGATCTCTCCTTGACCATGTCGGTGGCGAACTTGCTGCTCGTCATTGCGATCTGCACACATCAAAAATGGGCGCGACCACCAAATCAGCCATAGTCCCCATTACATCCCCAATTCACCCACACTAGACTCTGTGTCCTCCCCCCTCCTGCCGTAGACTCCTCCACAACCATCGCCCCCTTTCGACACGACTGACCAAATAGGATGAACAAAAAAAATAAAATAAAAAAATTGCCCGCAATCGCTGTCTTCGGAAGTCTCCCTTCAAATCAAGTGGACGATTATAAAAATAATTAATAATATAACAGAAACGAAGAAAAAAAGACAAAAGGGGGTATGTTGTCTGCCTTGAAATCAAGTGGAGGAGAAATGTACGGCAGATGCAGGAGATATGGAGGAGATGGAGAGATGGAAGAGAAAGGTGGTGAATCAAGGAGAAATGAAGGTGGAGGGGATATGAGAGGGAGATGGGGATATGGAGGAGAGATGGAGGGGAGAGGGCGAGATATGGAGGTGGAGGAGAGATGGAGGAGAGATGGAGGAGAGATGGAGGAAAGATGGAGGAAAGATGGAGGAAAGATGGACAGGTGGAGGACAAAGGTGGAGGCATGGAGGAGAGGTGAAGGTGGAGGGTATATGGAGGACAGATGGAGGAGAGATGGAGGACAGATGGAGGAAAGATGGACAGGTGGACAAACGNATGGAGGAAAGATGGACAGGTGGACAAACGTGAAGGCATGGAGGAGAGGTGAAGGTGGAGGGTATATGGAGGACAGATGGAGGAGAGATGGAGGAAAGATGGACAGGTGGAGGACGAAGGTGGAGGCATGGAGGAGAGATGAATGTGGGCATATGGCGGGGAGACTGGGATATGGCAAGCACCGAGTCCAGGAACAGGAAACAACGAAAAGAAAAAAAAAAAGACGACCGGTATTTCCAGCGTTTTCCAGCGGAGGGGATATGGCGAGGAGATTGGGGGTTATAGTAGGACCTGAAGGACGACGAAGGAGAGTAGAGATGGAGGAGGAGAAGGGGTGGAGGGAGGAAAAGACGGTACATGAACCCCTAAAGTGCCCTGTACATCAAGCCTTAACAGCCCCTGCGCATCAAGCCCTAAAGGCACTCTAGATCAGCATGACCCATGAGCAAGGATGACAAACACAAATTGAGAAAAGGCCGAACAAAAAAAACAGGGTCCTTCGGGACATCTATCGCAATGGGAACGACACAGAGATGATTAGCATGACCCTGACGCAAGGATGACACACAATTCGAGAAAAGGTCCAAAAAAGAAAAAAGAAAAAAAAGCTCGATAGATTAAATTATTTTCAAAATTTCGATACCTAGGTGGGAGAGGAGGAGGAGGTGGACGCAGAGGTCGTGCTAATCTTCTGTGTATCGATCCCAATCATCCTCCGTTTGTGAGCTTTTTTTTTTTTCCAACTTTTCTCGATTTGTGTGTGTCATCCTTGTGCAGAGGTTGTGCTAATCTTCTCTGTTTCATTCCCAATTTGTGTGTGTCATCCTTGCGCAGAGGTCATGCTAATCTTCTCGGTATCGTTCCCAAATGGGAACGATACAGAGAAGATTAGCACGACCTCTACGCAACGATGACACACACAAATCGAGAAAAGGTTGGAAAAAAAAAAAGCTCGATAGATTCGTTACCTGGGTGGAAGAGGAGGAGGACGTGGACGATGAGGGCGACGAGGAAGGGGAGGAGGACGACCTGGAGGAGGAGGGTGACGAGGGCGATGAGGAAGGGGAGGAGGAGGAGGGGGAGGAGGAGGAGTGTGACGAGGGCTTGATAGATTCGTTACCTGGGTGGGAGAGGAGGAGGACGTGGACGACGAGGGCGACGAGGAAGGGGAGGAGGACGACCTGGAGGAGGAGGGCGACGAGGGTGACGAGGAAGGGGAGGAGGAGCAGGAGGAGGAGGAGGAGGGCGACGAGGGCAACAGGGAGGA